TCCGATAAGAACTTCTTCAAAAGCCATATCAGTTAAGGACGTGAGGAAAGCAGTAATACCCCTACCATGCATACGGCGTCTGCGACCCCCTTTACCACGACCCTTTCCAAATTGTTTGAAATGTCGGCGTACTGCACGTCTCACCTTTCTGACTGGTTTCTTCATAAAGCGCCTCCAACGGCGTTTTGATTTGCGATAAGCCATAAAGGCGGCTTCCGCCCTTTGCTGTTCAGAAAGGTGAGTGTCATCCGCTGGATAGTCATTACCAGCAGAGACTATTCCATTGTGCTCATCGTCAGATGAGGTATCTGTGTCAGTGCCAGATTCAAACGGTGAGGGTGGCTGAGACCATTGAGCGGATGACTCCGCTTGGCCCCAGAGGGTTGTGCCCGAGGGCGGGCTTGCAGTGTAGGCGGCGCCTGGCGAGTAGTTCGACCAGGCGTTCGCCTCAGCTGCCTCTGCCGATGCCTGGCCGGTCTGCCCTAGAAGGGCAGTGGCCTCGTTGGGCATATCGGCTGGGTCAGCCCAGGGATTTGGCTCGCCAGGACCAGCGGGTGACCCCGCAGTCGTGGCGTAAACACCTGCATGTGAGTGGTGCCCTGTGAAGATACCCGCTATGTTACCAGGAGAGCGCTCGGCAACATGTCCGTAGTTCCTCATCCTGGTCAACAGCCTGTCATAGTCTGCTTGTGTTCGGGGCATCTGATGATTGAAGGGCTCAAGCAGGTGTTGGGCTCGTGACGCGCCAACGCCTAACGCTCTGAAGAGAATCAGCGTTAGGATCTGAAAGTTGGGGATGACAAAGCCAACAGAGTTAGCCTCGTCACGGGCCATCTCGAATCGAGCTAATACTGAGTCGATTCGCTCGCCCCTTTCGACGCGGAAGTCGATAAGGGCCGTGCCAGAGTTGAGCTGGCGCTCATCTTCCAGATTTTCAAATTTGGTGCTCAGTAAGTACAGTATGTAGGTTACTGCATCCGTTGGCTGTCCATTGACAGTTACACCATAATTGATGATCTGGGAGGGGACCTGCATGGCGATACGACGAGCCAGACCTTGAAGGCCTCGTTGTAGTGCTGCAGCTTGTTGTGGTGGTGTCATATTGCCGCTCGTTACGTTTAACCATGCATGTACTTCGCGAACGTATTCGCGGAAAGGCGTAGTACCGGCAGGGTCCCATGAAGGGCCAGTAGTACGCGTGTCGTCCATCCCCTGCCGCATGTATCCCACAGCACATCCCATTATCACCCATAGAATGCCGAAGATAGTTATCTTGATCCAATGCATATGCATTTCGGCTTCGGTGATTGGTTTAGGCTGTGGTTTGTCAGGCTCTGGCGTGGTAGCCGTGAGGCGCCTGACCGGCACGGGATGCAGGTGGCCCCGCTGCGGGTAGCCCCGCAGGGTGACCACGTTCTCGATCGAGTTGCCGATTGGCATCTGGTGGAAGTCGGGAGTGAAGTAGCGCAGTGAAGTAGGAGAGAGCGTCTCGAGTTCGCGGGTTGCCCCGCTAGCTCGATCGCGGACTGGCTCCGCTCCTCGCAGAGCCGGCGCAACATGGTATTCCACCGTAGTAGTAGTCCACCAAGTTGTGCCGTGGATTACAGGAATCAGAGCGAGAGCCAGCCACACGAGAGTGTAGCCAGCTCCGCTACCAAGTCGAAAACAAGCTGGTAAGCTTAGGTATGTAGTCCGCCTTAGGCGCTCCCATATCCCAGGCTTTGGCTCATATCGCATGAGCAAGAGAGCGAGACGAAGCATGGGATCTGGAGTAAAGAGTAGGATGGGCATCGTCAATGGAAAAGGTGTTTTCCGATCTCAGATGCAAGTAGTGCGCCTCGGTGAGGCACAGTCACATATTAGGCCGGGCCCGGCTTGAGCCAGGCACGGCAGCGGTACATGCTCGATTTATACCTCGCCTTTAACCTTCTCCGTTTAAAGTTAAGACAGCCCAAGAAGCGGCCAAGACGGCGCCCAAGACGGCCCAAGACGGCCCAAGAAGCGCCCAAGACGGCCCAAGAGCGCTCCAAGAGAGCCCAAGACCGCCCAAGGCGGCCCCAAGACGTCCCAAGAGGCCTCCACGACGCCCCAGGAGGCGCCCACGAGGCGTCCCAAGAGGGCCCCAAGATGCCAAATTCATTGATGTTCTAATGGAAAGCGTGCATTTTTAGCATGTACGGCGTTTCGCCTTTCATGGCGTTGAAGACGGCCCAAGAGGCCCCCAAGACCGCCCCAAGATGTTTCCAAGAGGCCCCCAAAATAGCCCAAGAGGGCGCCAAGACGGGCCAAGAGGCGCCCAAGACTGTCCAAGAGGCCCCTAAGAGCGCCCCAAGAAGGCCCAAGAGGCCCCCAAGAGGGCTCCAAAACGGCCCAAGAGGGCGCCAAGACGGCCCAAGACGGCCCCAGGACGGCCCCAAGAAGGCCCCAAGAGGCCCCCAAGAGAGCCCAAAGACGGCCAAAGGCAGCCTAGTCCCTTCACCCCCGCAGCCCAGAAGCCCCCAGGAGGCCCCAAGAGGCCCTCGAAAAGCCCCAAAAGGTACCCAGGAGGCACCCAAAAGGCTCCCCAAGAGCCCCTCAAGAGGCCCAAAATACTCCCAAAGGCTCTTAGCACCGCGGCTCCCAAGAGCGAGCGGTGACGTAATCGAGCTGATAAGACCAAAGCTCCCAACAGAGAGCTGCGGCGTAATAAGCCAAGGCACAGGAACGGGCGGCAACGCGTGGACAACGAGCGGTCCACGCACGGAAAACGCGGGGTTCTGGAAAGCTGGCAGCCCAAACGCGGAAAACGCAACGCGACCCGACCGCCCCCTCCAAAACAAGAAACGCGCTCAAAGAAAGCTCCGCGACTCTCCGAGGCTGAGATAGGACAAGAGCGAGGGGAAGGGAGTCAATAAGAGGTGTAAGAACGGACGAGCCAGCGATCCCGTGCGCTCTGAAAATAGTGCGCTTTCCGTCCCCGTGCCAAGCAGGTCTGTTGGCCCGGGTCAGCCAGATTTTGCAGGATCCTGCAAGATCCTGCAGGATCCTGCGCCCAAGCCTGGGTCAATGCAACCCTGGCGCTGCAGGATCCTGCAAGATCTGGCGTTCTGACGAGGCGCGGCCAACGAAAGTGGCCAAGGATGGACCGAGGAGACAAGGATGCAAGGGTACCCTTGGGAATGCTGCCCATCCTTGCAGTGCAGGTTGACTGTAGTGTGCAACCGTGGAGCAAATCCGCAGATGCTCTGGCAAGGGGAACGCGGCGGGGCCATCTCTGGGCCATCTTGGGTCGTTTTCGGCGCCTCTTGGGCCGTCTTGAGCGGCTTAGCAACTCTCCCGAGACGTCTTTCAGCATGGCAGGAGGTTCTGGGAGCATCTGGAGGACCTCAAAAATTGCCCCAAAAGGAGCTCGAGAGGGCCCGAAGACGGCCCCAAGAAGGCCCCCAGAAAGAAAACAAGCGGATGCTACAACAGGGGGTGCGTTGTAGCATCCGTTGCGGGGCCTCTCAGCGCTCTCTGGAAACGCTCGTGGCCGTCCTGGGATGCACCTGGGGCTACAGTGGGCCATCCGTCTCCTGGCCACCTTAGGTCGTCTTGGGCGCCTCTTGGGCCGTCTTGTGGCTCTCTTGGGCCGTTTTAGGGCCCTCTCGAGCCGCCATGGGATCCTCGTAGGGGGCCGCTTGGGCCTGCTCGGGGCGATCTTGGGGGCTGTTGGGCCGTCGTGAACGCAGGCCCAATCGCGCGCGCTGAAAACTCAAGAAAAACCCACAGAGCCCCTTCAATGTTTGCACCAGGGAGCCCTGCCTTGGACCGCTCTGGGAGCCTCTTAGAAGGTTTTTGGGCTGCCCGGAGGCAATATTGGGCTATCTTGGGTCAATCTGAGGCCATCTGGGCACCATCTTGGACCATCTTTAGGCCTTCATCGGCTATACTGGAGGCATCTTCGGCGAACTCGGAGGCCTCTTAGACTCGCTTGGGCCGCCTGGGAGGCGCAAGCCCTCCCGGCGGGCCCTCCCAACCTTTGCCACGATAGCCAAGGGCTCCCAAGTTTGCGCTTCGCGCTGCGCGAAGCGCGAAGTGCGAATAACTTCGCGGTCTCACGCCGCCTCCCAGGGGAGAAGAGGAGGATGAGGAATCGGAGCCGAACCGCGAAGCGCGAAGCGCGAATAACTTCGCGCCCTCGAGGGCGCCCTGGGATAGCCGAGCACCACGCGCAACTCCCGGTAATGTAGGAGAGTCTAGTGGTGGCCCGTGGCCTGCCGGGCACGAAGCAAGTCCGAGATTGCACAGTGGACCCGGGCAGAGACGTCGCCGAAAGGCTTTCGCGATGACGTCGGGCCCGAACTTCGCCTCTGCTCTTGCTAGCTGCAGCTGCAGGGCGCTACTATCGGCCGTTGTCATCTGCGGACTGCTGTTGTTAGCTGCTGCTGCTTGAGGCTGCACAGTGCTGCTTCCTGGCACCCTTGCTGGATGACGCAACCTGCAACTGATGCGTGGAGCGAGGAGCGAGGAGGTCGGAACCAGGGGTCGAGGGGGTAGGCGGGGGAAGCGAGGAGCGATCATCGAGGAGCACGGAGCGAAAAGGGAATAGCGACTGCCCTTCTTGGGTGCCTCTTGGAGCCCTCTTGGGCCGTGTCGCGGCCCTGTGGGGCCGTCTGGATGCCATATTTCAAGGGGCCCCAGGACACACAAATAAATACACACAAATAAAAATATTCGCCATATTTTCCTATATTTTCTCGGTTTCTGTCTTCCCCCCCACTTCCCATATTTTCCCATATTTTCTGGGAATCGTCGATTAATTGTGTCTGTGTGTTTTTTCCCCTCCTGAATATTGACGACCTCTTGGACCGTGTGCAAGCGTCTCGGGCCATCTTGGACCGTCTTTGGGCCCTCTCGGGTCGTCTTGCAGCCCGCCGAGGGGCGCCCTGGATCGCGCAGGGGCCAGCCAGGGCCAGCTTTTTGGGCCTCGCGCGTCGTGTTCCTCCTGGCAAGCGGCTATACCCCAGTGTTGTAGGGTCCATGGCCTTGGGCTCCGACTTCGCGTTCCGCAACTCGCGGAGCAGCCTGCAACACGGGGCTCCAACTTCACATCCAACGTCTGGCTGAGCTACGGCAGGGCTCGCTTTCACTGCTCGCCACTCTCACAGTTGCTGATCCCGGCACCGTGGCCAGCCAGGGCGGACCCATGTAGTGGCATCCAGAGCGGCGTCCTGCACGATGGAATACCACTGCCGAGTTCAAGATACGGGTGCCCGTCCACGTAGTCGCAGTGGTTGCCCAGCAGGGTCCCACTCGCACAACGATTCTCAGGATGCTCGAAAGCGCGAAAGACCGACCTGATGATAGTCAGGACATCCTGCCGAGTGGCGAGACGACCTCTCGTACGCTGTGATGCCCAAATTGTAGCTGTCTTCGTTCGGCTCCACATATCTATTCCGCATCTCGCCGAGCAGCGACAACGCCTGCCGCCATTGACCGCATCTCGCACACGCGACGATCTCAGCGTGGTAGCTGATGACGCTCGGCTCCAGCTTCGCCTTCAACATCTCGCTGAGCAATTCCAGAGCCCGCTGCCATTGCTCGCCCTTCTCGCATGCGCTGATCCCAGCATTGTAACTGACTAGTGTGTACCCGTGCTTGCTGCCACTGGCGGCGGGGGTTGCCGAACCATGGGTGGGTCTGCAGGCGACAGCCACATGCCAAGTTCTCGCCAGGGCCGCGGGCCGCGCGACTGCGCGGCCGTTTGGGGCCGTCTTGGGCGCCTCTGGGGCATTGTCGGGACCGTCGTGGGGCCGTCGTACCAGAGGGCACGAAGAGGGCCCCCAAAAGGCTCCAAGAGGGCTCCAAGAGGGCCCCAGGATGCCGCCGGGCGCGGGCCCACCATTCTGCCACGAGAGGCCTTTCTGTGGCAGAATGCACCCGGCCCTGTCTTGGAGGGGCCCGAAGGCCTCAAGAGGGCCGCAAGAGCGCCCCCAGGGGGCCCCAAACCGAATGTACTTGACATGCTTCTTGAGCTTGCGAGAGGGACACACAAGTACATGCGTCACGGGGCCCCTCGGGAGCGCTCCCAGCCTGTCCTGGCCCCCTCTTGGGGCCGCCATGGGCGCCTGAGGAGCCGTCCTGGCGCAGTGTTGAGCCGTCTTGGGGCCCTCCTGGCAGCCTCCTGAGGCGTCTTGGGACGATCTTGAGGGCCTGTGTGGCCGTCTTGGACGCTTCGAAGACGAAAAGCACGGGAACTCCCGAAATGCACGTTTCCCCGAAAGGTTGGGACGATTTTTCCTTGTTCGGGCTCTCCGGGTGCTCTCTCTGGAACCCGCTTGGAGCATCTTGGGGGCCTCTTGGGCCGTCGGGCGGCTGTCGTGGGCGTCTTCGAGCGCTCGGGGCCCGTCTCGGAGGCCCTCTTGGACCGACTTCGGCCGTCTTCGGCACGGAGCGCTCTTAAGCCATCTTGGAAGCGCGCCGGGGCCCCGGAGCCGCGCCGGTGGCCGCTGGAGGGGCTGGTCCACGGCCACTGGTCGCCCATTTCGCAAGCGGTGAACGCTGCATTATCAGTAGAGACTGGAGCTGACCCGTGGACTACGTCCACGAAATCTGCGCGAGCTGGCACATGATGGTGGACATGCTGCCGAAAGGCTGACATGATGCCGTGGGGTTTGAACCTCGCATTCCCCGCATGCTACCGCGTGCTGATGCTTGCCACATATTCTGCGTGCTGTTCGTACTGCTTAGTGAAGTACCGCTGCTGCGTGCTGTTGCTGCTCGTAGCTGCAAGGTGCTGCTGATGTTGGGTCGGGCGTACCGTCTGGTCACATGTTTGTCAAATTGAAGGCCCTGGAGCGCCTCGGGGGCTCCTGACTGGGCGGCCGAGAAGCTTGCTGAAAGGTTCTGGGATCGGCGGGGAAGCTCGCAGGACAGACCCTCTGGGGCGCCTCGGGGGCTCCTGACTGGACGGCCGAGACGCTTGCAGAAAGGTTCCAGGATCGCCCAGGCAGGCTCGCAGGGCGCTCCAAGGGGAGCACAGGAGGGCTCAAAGGGGGCTTCAAGTTGCACAAACAACCAAAAGAAGCCCCGCAGGTTAAGGGGGCTGTTTTGTTGGATTTCTGTTCAACGCGAAGCTCTCTGGGGCAGGTCAGGAGCGCCGGGCCCCTCCTCTTGGAGGCAGTTTTGAAGCCTCTTGTCAGGGCCTCTGGGGGGCTGGTTGAAGGCCATCCTTTGGGGCCGTCTTGGGCGCCTCTTCGGCCGTCCTGGGGTCATCTTGGGCTGTCTTGGAGCCCTCTTGGGGGCCTCTGAGACTGTCTTGGGGCAATCTTGAAGGCCTTCAGGGCCGCCTCTGACGCTGCTAAAACGAAGAAGGCGAAAATGCCAAAATTGTCCGTTTCCCTGAGGGTCTGGAACGATGTTTGCTTCTTGGGCCCTCGTGGGGGTCCTCCGTGGAGCACTCTTGGAGTATCTGGGGGGCCTCTTGGACCGTCTGGTAGCTACCTTGGGCGTCTGGGATTAGGTCGGGCGTCCCCCAATAGGCTGATTTTGGATGAAAAATAAGCAATATTCAAAACATATAAAACAATGAAAAATATTCCAACAATCGTCCCCAGACTATTTTCAAAACATTCTTGAATGAGAGGGACAGGCCCGACGTAAAGCTGCCTTGGGCGTCTGGGAACGGCCTGCGAGCGCCTGCTCTGGACGCGCCTGTGGGCTCTCTCTTGGGGCGTCTTGAGGAGCGCCTTTTGGGACGTCTTGGAGCGGCCCTGGGAGGCGCCAGAGAGGCCAGCTGGGGCGCCGGAGGAGCCATCGAGACAGCGCACTTCTCGCACGCGCGGCCCAGGGAGTGTCCCAAGTAGCGTCTGGGACCGCCTTTCCTCCTCTTCCCCCTTCCCCCTCCTCCTCCTCCTCCTCCTCCTCCTCCTCCTCCCCTCCTCCTCCTCCTCCTCCTCCTCCTCCTCCTCCTCCTCCTCCTCCTCCTCCTCCTCCCTCCTCTCCTCCTCCTCCTCCTCCTCCTCCTCCTCCTCCTCCTCCTCCTCCTCCTCCTCCTCCTCCTCCTCCTCCTCCGTCGTGAGGCGCTCTTGGGGCTCTCTTTGGGCGTCCTGGAGCGGCCCAAGGCCGCCCCAGAGAGGCCCGCTGGCACCCGCTGGGGCGCCGGAGGAGCCATTAAGGCAGCGTGCTTCTCGCACGCGCGTGTGCCTGCAATGTAGTAGAGATGACGTCGGGCTCCAACTTCACCGCCCACATCTCGCTCAGCAGCGCCAGCGCCGGCAGCCACTGTTCGCCCTTCTCGCACGCGCTGATCCCAGCATTGTAGCAGATGACGTCGGGCTCCAACTTCACCTTCCACATCTCGCTCAGTAGCGCCAGCGCCCGACACCACTGCTCGCCCTTCTCGCACGCGCTGATCCCAGCGCTGTAGCTGATGACGCCGGGCTCCAGCTTCGCTCCCCACATCTCGCTCAGCAGTGCCAGCGCCCGCTGCCACTGCTCGCCCTTCTCGCACGCGCTGATCCCAGCGCTGTAGCTGACTAGGGCTGACCCGTGGACTCCGTCCACGACATCTTTCTGGAATGGTTCAGGAACGGCGCAGATTGTACCGAAAATCTACAAACACGGCGGCGGCTCGGGCGGCGGCAGCGAGACCGCGCCTTCGTGTCCGAGCTCTTGCAGCGCTGCAGCAGCTTGGCCCAGCGCACTGCTCGTTCACCCCCCTCCTATTGAGGACAGTTTCGAAGTCTCTCGGGGATGTGCGTCGAAGTCGAAGCCCATCTGAGGCGTCTCAGGAGCGCTCGGGGAAGGGCTCGGGAGGCCATCGGGGAAAGCCACCGAAAGCGCCGGGGAGGCTCGCAAGGATCTACAGGGAGGGCCCAAGAGAGCTTCAAGAAAATTTGAAATCCAGTGAACTCTTAAGAGAAACCGCTGTTGGGTCGGCCATCACCTCCGGGCGCGCCTTGATGGTGCGATCCAGTCGCATCACCGCCAACGGGAGGGTTTGTTCGCCATGTCCCATTCTGTTCGCCCAGAGGGTCTGTGGAGGCCTTCGGGCGAACAGAACGGGACAGGGCAAGGAATGGGGAAGACATGTCCGAATCTCCTGGGCCCCCCAGATGCTCGTCCGAAGAATGCGGAGAGGTCCCAGGGTCATATCAATTGGCTGCTGTCCCAGGGGTCCGGTCTGCTTGGCCCGAAGAGTTTGCCAAGGCCCCTGGGGGAACAGAATGGCACAGCATATCGGGCAAAGGGGGGCGGTAGCTGGCCTGTCAGACCCGGCGTTCGTCTTCTGCCCAAGCGGCGCGGGGCCCACGGGCCCCAGGGTTGGCGTCCCGCTGGGATTCCTCTTGTTCGCCCACAGGGTTGGAGGAGGCCTCCAGGCGAACAGAATGGGGCAGGACAATGAATGTGGGAGACTTGTCGCAAGCTCCCAGCCCCCCCAAGTGTGCGCCCGAAGGGTGTGGGGCCGCGTTGGCTCCCTCAAAGGGCCGTCTTGGAGCCGTCTAGGCCCGTCTTGAGGGCGCCGTTTGCCCTGATGGGGCCGTCTTGGTTCGTCGTGGGCCCCTCATGGGCGCGTCCGTAGGCCGTCCTGGGCCCATCGGGGTCCTCGTGGGGCTGTCTTGGAGCCGTCTGGGACCGTGAGGAGGCCGCCTTGGAGTCGTCTTGGGCCCCTCCTGTGCGCCTCCTTGGGCCGTCCTGGGCCCAGCAAGGGCCGTGTTGGCACCCTCTTGGGGCTGTCTTGGGGCTGCCTTGAGCCGTCGCAGCGCGCCTTGGGTTGTGCTGGGCCCGTCTTGGCCCGTCTTGGGGCCTTCCTGGGCGGTTCCTCGGACCCTCCTGGGACTTTCTGGGGCCTCTTGGTGCATCGGACCGCCGAAACGGCGGGAAACGCAAAGGGTGTAACAGTAAACAATGGAAAATTAACGATTTTTGCCAGCTGGGACTCTCTTGCCATCTTGGCCCGTCTTGAGGCCCCGAACGGGCGCGTCCTTGGGCCGTCCTGGGCGCACCCTCCTGGGACCGTCTTGGAATCGTCTTGGGCCGTCTTGAGCGCGCCTTGGGCCGTCCTGGGCCGGTCTGGGGCCGTGTTGGCACCCTCGCGGCGAGGAAGCTCGGAGGCGGGCTCGAGGCCTCTTCGGGGCCATTTTGGAAGCTGTTGGGGCCTCTGTAGGGGCCTCGTTTGGGCTCCTTGGGAGCCTCCTGGGGCCTCTTCGGGGGATTCTTGGCGGCCCCTTGGGGCCTCTTGGGGGCCTGTTTGGGCCTCCTGGCGCCCTCTTGGGGCGGAAGGCTCGGATTTTCGGTCCGTGGTCCCCCTCTTGGCCCCCTCTTGGGCCTGTCTTCGGGCCCTCGTGGGCCGTCTTGAGCGTCTCTTGGGTCGTCTTGGGGCCCTCTTGGGCTGTCTTGGGGCGCTCTTGGAAACCTCTTGGGCCGTTCTGGGGCGCTCTTGGAAGCCTCTTGGGCCGTCTTCGAGCGTCGGAAAGCGGAAAAGGCGAGAAGGCCAAAATCCTTCCAAAACCGTCGTAAAGCGGACGATTTTGAAGCCCAAAACCGTCCAAAACCTCCTGAGGCGGTCCCCTCGTCCGCCCCCCTCGCTTCGAAGCAGTTTTTAAGCCCCGTGGCACCTCTTGGGGATCTCTTTTGGGCTCCTGGGGGCCTCTTGGGCCTCCACTGGATTCGCTGCCCTCGGTCGGCAATCGTCGATCCTACGACGACTCTCTCCAACAGAGAAACATCGAAGGCCCTCGGAGCGTCCAACATTGTTCTTTTGTGCCTTCGATGTGCCGGTCGCCTCTCGTCCGCTCCCCCCCTCCTGGAAGCAATTCTGAGGCCACTTAGGGCTTCGTGGGGGCCGTTTGGGGATCTCTTGGGGCGTTTTTGCCTGCGATATGCCTGTCGCCTCTCGTCCGCTCCCCCGCTCCTGGAGGGAATTCTGAAGGCACTGAAGGCTTCGTGGGGGCCGTTTCGGAGCCTCTTCGGCCTTCTTTTGGGCCTCCCGGGGGGGCTCTTAGGGCCCTCTCGGGCCGTCTTGGGTGCCTCTTGGGCCGTCTTGGGGCCGTCTGAGACCCGCCTCGGCGCCTCTTGGGCTGTCTTGGGCCGTCTTGGGCCGCTCCTGGGGCCGTCTTGGGTGCCTCTTGGGCCGTCTTGGGCGCCTCCTGGGCCGTCCTGGGGCCGTCCTGGGGCGTCTTGGGACCGTCTGGGGGCCCTCCTGGCCCGTCTTGGGGCTCTCTTGGGGTCCTCTTCGGCCGTCTTGGAGCGGTCGGGGGGACTTCTTGGGCCGTCTTGGAGCGTCGGGAAGCCGAAGAGGCGAGGAGGCCGAAAACATAGAAAAACTCAATAGAAATCGACGATTTCTGTCGCTCGGGGCCCTCTTGGGAGGCCTCTTGGGAGGCCTCTTCGGGCGTCTTGGACGCCTCTTGGGCCGCCTGGGGCGAATCTGGGGCGTCTTGGGCCCATCTTTAAGCGTGCCGGGGCTCTCCGGGGCCGTCTTGGGGGCTTCTGGGGCCCTGGGGGCCCTCTCGACATGTCCTGGGGCCTGCCTGGGCGGCCCGGGGCGGCCCGGGGCCAGCCCGGGGCGGGTTTGAGACATTTGAGCCTGCGCCCTTCCCGCACGCACGTGCCCCTGCAATGTAGTAGAGACTAGGGCTGACCCGTGGACTCCGTCCGCGACATCTTTCTGGAATAGTTCGCGGAGGAACGGCGGAGATTTTGCCGAAAACCTATAAGCACGGCGGTGGCCGGGGCGGCGACAGCGAGACCGCGCCTTCGTGTCCGAGCTCCAGCAGCGCTCCAGCAGCTCGGCCGTCGCGGGGCCGCCGTCGTCGCTGTCATCGTCGGCGTCGTTATCGTCGCCGCCGCGAGGCCGCCGTCGTACCCGTCGTAGTCGGCGTCGCTGTCGTGGTGGTGCTCGTCGTCGTCGTGGGTTGTGGGCACTGGAAAGCTGGCGACGTCGGTAGGACTGACCCGTGGACTCCGTCCACAAAATCTGCACGAACTGGCATCTGCTTGCGGGGCCCAACCTCGCATTCCGCGCATCCTACTGCGTGCTGCTGCTTGCTGCCGCTTTTGCATACTGTTGGTAGTGCTTGAGGCCGCTGCTGGGTGTTCTTGCTGCTTGTGGCTGCAGGCTGTTGCTGATGGTGAGTTCGTGCTTCTACCCGCTGCCTGCCGCTGCTTGCTGCTGCTGTCTCCAGCCGTTGCCACTGTCTGCTTCGTGCCCGCGGAAGAGATCGATGCTGCCCCAGGTCGCTTGGAATGTCGCACGGCGGGCTGCGCATGGGGGCTCACTGTGACGCGCAGGGACTCTGCGCCCCTGTGGGATCAGACCGTGCTGGGGACTGCGCTCCCCGGAGGCCTCCGGTGTATCTTGCCTCGCTTGGCCGGCAGCGGCGCAGAGCGCCCTGGAGCTGGGAGGCAATAGTACAGGGAAGTGGCGCCCAATGCTGCTGTTCATGATTCGGCGCTCTTTCGCTCGCGCCCGCACCCACGGAGGAGGGCAACGCTCCCTGTGCGGCCACCGATGGCGGGCGCGTCCTTCTCCCTGGGAACAGTTTGGGGGTCTCTCGGGTTTTCTTTTCAGCCTTCTGGGGACCTTTTGGGGCCCCCTTGGACTGTCTTGCGGCCTCCTGGGAGCCCTCTTGGGCCGTCCTGGCTTGGGTGCCCCTTGGGCCGTCTTGGGGCCGTCAGAGGCCGTCTTGGACGCCTCTGGGGCTGGCTTGGGGCCGTCTTGGACCGCCTTTGGCCGCTCTTGGGGCTTCCTTGGGTGACTCTTGGGCCGTCGTGGGCGCCTCAGAAGAGACTAAAGCTGAACCGTGGACTCCGTCCGCGACATCTTTCTGGAATAGTTCTCGGAGGAACGGCGGAGATTTTGCCGAAAACCTATGAGCACGGCGGCGGCCAGGGCGGCGGCAGCGAGACCTCACCTTCGTGTGCTCTTGCAGCGCTCAAGCAGGTGAGCGTTTTATTGCTCGGCGTTTCGACATTGGGCGGAAGGGGGGGGAGGGGGGGGTCTGGCTCCAGACCCCTGCTCAGTGCAACTCTTTGCAAGCGTGCTGCCTCTGGGGGGAGACTGCACCCGCTCGAAACGGGCGCCAAAAAACAGCCCAAATCCACTCCATGGGGGGGACGACCCGAACATCCGACGTCTCGCTTTTTTCAAGACACGGGCCCCTGGCATCCCGACCACTTCGCCGGGACCGGCTCCTCATCCCGAGTCGTTTCTTGACGGCCCCGAGGCCCGGCGAGGGCCCCGAGGGGCCGAAGACGACGAAAAACCTCCGTCTCGATTTTTTCGAGGCGCCCGATATCTGGGGGGGGGAGGGGGGGGGGGGGGGCCGCGCCGACCGGCAAGACAAAGAAAGGATCGCCAGCTCGGCCCTCGGCGCACGTGCTCCGTCGCCCCCGGCGTGTGGAGTGCAGTACTGTGCCGTCTCTCGGAGAGGTGCGCTCCACGGTCGAAGCCCACCTGAGGCGTCTCGGGGGCGCCGGGGGAGAGCCCTCGGGAGGCCCCTGGGAGAAGCCATCGGGAGCGCGGGGGAGGCTCGCCATGGGATCTCCAGGGAGCCTCGAGAGGGCGTGAAACCCAACGAGATCTCAGCAGAAACCGCTGTCGGGTCGGACGTGCTTCGCTGCGTTGGGGAGGCCGTGCTGTTGGAGTTCTGCGGCGGGCCCCTCTCTTGGAGGCAACTTTGAAGCTTCTTTGGGCCTCTTGGGGGGTTGAGGGCCTCTCAGGTCCTCTTGTGGCCTCTTCGGGACCTTCTGGGACCCTCTTGGACCGTCTGGGCTCCTCTTGGGCCGTCCTGGGGCCACGTTCAGAGCTCCGCACGTTCTCTGAACCCTCATGAGGCTCCCTTCTGGGCCTTTTCGGGTTTCCTCCTCCTCCTCCTCCTCCTCCACCTCCTCCTCCTTCTTGCCTCAATCCTGCATGCCCTGAATCTTGTATCGTCAATCGTAGACCCTCGGAGCATCGAAAACGGCTGTTGGTGCCTGCGCTCTGCCTCTCACCTCTCGTCCGCCCCCCCTCTGCCGGAGGGTTCTGTAGCCACGCAGGGTCTCCTGGGGCCCGTGCGGGGGCCTCTTGGGGCTTCTTTTTTTCGGCTTCGAGGAGGCCTCTGGGGGCCCTCGCGTGCTCTCGTCGGTGCCGTTTGGGCCGTCTCGGAACCGTCCTGGGCCGTCTTGGGCGCCTCTTGGGCGCCTCTTGGGCCGTCTGGGGGCCGTCGTGGACCGTCTTGGGCGGCTCTTGGGGCTGTCTTGGGTGCCTTCGGGGCCGTCTTGGGGCCCGCCTTTTGGGCCGTCTTCGGGCCGTCTTTGAAACTGTCTTGAATGCCTCTGGGGCCATCTTGGGCGCCTCATAGGCCGTCGTGGGCCTGTGTCGGAGCCCTGATGGGGGCATCTGGGGCCGATCGCGGGGGGCTCTGTGGCCGTCGTGGGCGCGTCGGAGAAGCACGAAAATGCCACACACGTGAGTTTTCCGGGGGGGACGAGACGATTTTTGCGTCCCGGGGCTGTCGTGAGGAATCCTCGAGGGCCGTCCTTGGAGGCTCCTGGCCTGCCTTGAGGGCCCTTGGGGCTATCGGAACGGCCTCTTGAGCGGCTCGGCGCGCACCTGGGGCCGTCGGGGTGGCCTCTGGAGCGGCTCGGAACCGTCTTGGGGTCGTCGGGGAGCCCTCTTGAGCGGTTCGGGGCCGTCTTGGGGCCGTCGGGGCGGCGTCAGGAACGTCTCGGAGCCGTCGTGAGGCCGTCGGGGCGCCCTCTCCCACGGCTCGGAACCGAGAGAAAGCAATTTGTGTAGAAACCCTTCTCGCACGCACTTTTCCCGGCATTGTATGACGTTGGGTTCCACCTTCGCGTCCCACATCTCGCTCAACAGCGCCAGCGCCCGCTGCCACTGCTCGCCCTTCGCGCACGCGCTGACCCCAGCGCTGTAGCTGATGGCGTCGGGCTGCAGTTTCGCCTCCCGCATCTCGCTCAGCAGCGCCAGAGTATGCTGCCATTCCTCGCCCTTCTCGCACGCGCTGATCCCAGCATTGTAGCTGACTAGGGCTGACCCGTGGACTCCGTCCACGACATCTTTCTGGAATGGTTCTCGGAGGAACGGCGCAGATTGTACCGAAAATCTACAAACACGGCGGCGGCTCGGGCGGCGGCAGCGAGAACCGCGCCTTCGTGTCCGAGCTCTTGCAGCGCTGCAGCAGCTTGGCCCAGCGCACTGCTCGTTCACCCCCCTCCTATTGAGGACAGTTTCGAAGTCTCTCGGGGATGTGCGTCGAAGTCGAAGCCCATCTGAGGCGTCTCAGGAGCGCTCGGGGAAGGGCTCGGGAGGCCATCGGGGAAAGCCACCGAAAGCGCCGGGGAGGCTCGCAAGGATCTACAGGGAGGGCCCAAGAGAGCTTCAAGAAAATTTGAAATCCAGTGAACTCTTAAGAGAAACCGCTGTTGGGTCGGCCATCACCTCCGGGCGCGCCTTGATGGTGCGATCCAGTCGCATCACCGCCAACGGGAGGGTTTGTTCGCCATGTCCCATTATGTTCGCCCAGAGGGTCTGTGGAGGCCTTCGGGCGAACAGAACGGGACAGGGCAAGGAATGGGGAAGACATGTCCGAATCTCCTGGGCCCCCCAGATGCTCGTCCGAAGAATGCGGAGAGGTCCCAGGGTCATATCAATTGGCTGCTGTCCCAGGGGTCCGGTCTGCTTGGCCCGAAGAGTTTGCCAAGGCCCCTGGGGGAACAGAATGGCACAGCATATCGGGCAAAGGGGGGCGGTAGCTGGCCTGTCAGACCCGGCGTTCGTCTTCTGCCCAAGCGGCGCGGGGCCCACGGGCCCCAGGGTTGGCGTCCCGCTGGGATTCCTCTTGTTCGCCCACAGGGTTGGAGGAGGCCTCCAGGCGAACAGAATGGGGCAGGACAATGAATGTGGGAGACTTGTCGCAAGCTCCCAGCCCCCCCAAGTGTGCGCCCGAAGGGTGTGGGGCCGCGTTGGCTCCCTCAAAGGGCCGTCTTGGAGCCGTCTAGGCCCGTCTTGAGGGCGCCGTTTGCCCTGATGGGGCCGTCTTGGTTCGTCGTGGGCCCCTCATGGGCGCGTCCGTAGGCCGTCCTGGGCCCATCGGGGTCCTCGTGGGGCTGTCTTGGAGCCGTCTGGGACCGTGAGGAGGCCGCCTTGGAGTCGTCTTGGGCCCCTCCTGTGCGCCTCCTTGGGCCGTCCTGGGCCCAGCAGGGGCCGTGTTGGCACCCTCTTGGGGCTGTCTTGGAGCCGTCTTGAGCCGTCGCAGCGCGCCTTGGGTTGTGCTGGGTCCGTCTTGGCCCGTCTTGGGGCCTTCCTGGGCGGTTCCTCGGACCCTCCTGGGACTTTCTGGGGCCTCTTGGTGCATCGGACCGCCGAAATGGCGGGAAACGCAAAGGGTGTAACAGTAAACAATGGAAAATTAACGATTTTTGCCAGCTGGGACTCTCTTGCCATCTTGGCCCGTCTTGAGGCCCCGAACGGGCGCGTCCTTGGGCCGTCCTGGGCGCACCCTCCTGGGACCGTCTTGGAATCGTCTTGGGCCGTCTTGAGCGCGCCTTGGGCCGTCCTGGGCCGGTCTGGGGCCGTGTTGGCACCCTCGCGGCGAGGAAGCTCGGAGGCGGGCTCGAGGCCTCTTCGGGGCCATTTTGGAAGCTGTTGGGGCCTCTGTAGGGGCCTCGTTTGGGCTCCTTGGGAGCCTCCTGGGGCCTCTTCGGGGGATTCTTGGCGGCCCCTTGGGGCCTCTTGGGGGCCTGTTTGGGCCTCCTGGCGCCCTCTTGGGGCGGAAGGCTCGGATTTTCGGTCCGTGGTCCCCCTCTTGGCCCCCTCTTGGGCCTGTCTTCGGGCCCTCGTGGGCCGTCTTGAGCGTCTCTTGGGTCGTCTTGGGGCCCTCTTGGGCTGTCTTGGGGCGCTCTTGGAAACCTCTTGGGCCGTTCTGGGGCGCTCTTGGAGGCCTCTTGGGCCGTCTTCGAGCGTCGGAAAGCGGAAAAGGCGAGAAGGCCAAAATCCTTCCAAAACCGTCGTAAAGCGGACGATTTTGAGGCCCAAAACCGTCCAAAACCTCCTGAGGCGGTCCCCTCGTCCGCCCCCCTCGCTTCGAAGCAGTTTTTACCTAACAGCGAAGACTGATAGGTTTCTAGTGGTCTCAAAAGAGCTCACAGATCACTCCACAGGGGGGTCCGGGCAGGTGTTGGGGCGTTTCCGGGCGGCATGAGCCGGGCTCGTTTTTCACCAACAGTCACACACTTCGTGCTCTTCGCCTTCCCAGAACTCCATTCCCAGGCCACATTCTGGGGGCCGGATGCAACTGTAGGCCACTTCGTGCTCTTCGACATCCCAGAACGCCATTCCCGGGCCACATTCTGGGGGGCCGGATGCAACTGTAGGCCACTTCGTGCTCTTCGACATCCCAGAACGCCATTCCCTGGCCACATTCTGGATGCCCGGAGCCAACTGTAGGCCACTTCGTGTTCTTCCATTTCCCAGAACTCCATTCCCGGGCCACATTTTGGATGCCCGGAGCCAACTGTAAGCCACTTCGTGCTCTTCGAGTTCCCAGAACTCCATTCCTGGGCTACATTTTGGATGCCCAGAGCCAACTCTAGTCCACTTCCTGGTCTTCGAGTTCCCAGAACTCCATTGCCGGGCAACATTTTGAATAGCCAGACGCTTCATATTCCTTCCGCCACAGCTGTGTTTGGTTCAGGACTTGCTAGTGACACTGCAGTCCTCTGCATTCAATTGGCCACTACATTCATTCACTGCAGTCCACTGAGTTTTTGATTGCAATGGCGTTCCCCTGGCCGTACCCCCATGTCCAACGTTCATCCGCAGCCTCTGCTCCGCGAGGCTCGTCCGAAGTGTCGCCGCCTCGCGGTGCTTCTCAGCCTGCGCCGCCTCGCGGTGCTTCTCAGCCTGCGGAGGAAGGTGGACAGACGCCTGGTTCTGGCGCTGTGCAGCCTGCGTCTTTCACGGTCGCCTCGTTCAATTTCGGGTTCGAGCAGGGCATGATGACTGGTAAGCAGGCGGCCACTCACTGCGCTAACTTCGGAAGGTTGTGCGCCAAGATAGTGGAGACCGCTGATGCTGATATGGTCTGTGGCTGCGAGGTCGGTGCGTTCCGTGAAGGCTTTCGCCGAGCAGGGATCAACGTGACAGACATCCTCAGTAAGCCTTTCGGTGATGGCATTCGCTTCTTGGAGGTCGACAACTACTTGACTCTCTGGGGGTTCCGCGGTGCTTCTCAGCCTGCGGAACTGACTCTGTGCGAAGACAGCAAAGTTTACAGGCCTCCTAGCGGCCGAGATATTGATGCTGTTATTTCACATTTTGAGGTGAACAAACCAGGCCATGACAAGTTCCACGTGGTGATCGCCAACATGCACATCGTGTGCGGCAAGAAACCGCCGAGCATCCAGACTCGAAAGCGGACGGTTCGCCATCTCCGCTTGCACCTGGACGGCCTGGCCAAGATTCTTGAGAATCTAAACGAGGCAGTCGTTGTGCTTGTAGTCGGCGACGACAACCTCACTTTCCAGGAGGCGCGGGAGGCTTACCAGCGCGAGCAGAACGACGAGAAGGAATGGGAGGTCCATGCCACTCCGGCCGACCTCAAAGGCGACCACGTCGCGGTCTGCGGAGCAGTCGCCCGTTTCTGCTCCATTGCCGTTGGCGCGTCTTTTACGGATCGTGGCATGCGCAACGACGCACACGATGCGGTGGCGGTTGTGCTCACTCTCCCTGGTGCTATTCAGCCTGGGGAGAGCAAGAGGCGGAAGATTGTCGTCGAAAACGTCTCCGACGCCGACGTCAGCGTACAGGCGGACCGCGAGTCTTCTGTGCATTGGGATCGGTCGCCGAGTTCTACTCCTCCGCTTTCACCGACTTCACCGGGTGATCCCGACTACGTCGAGGATGTCGTTCAGAATCGCGCGGACGACTTGCACAGGGAGCTGAGGCAGCTTTGGGACGACAGGTACGACGAGGAGTACGATCCGAAAGTCCTCCATCATCTCAGTCTCTTGCTTTTCAAAAAGAGGAAGTCCACGGAGCCAGCGGACACTGATCCAGCTGGCGCTCCTCAGCCTGGCTCGGAATATGACACGGCCTTTGCGTCTCAGGAGGAGACTGGCCGAGCCATTCTCTCTGTCCTTAAGCTTCGACATGACTTTCTGCGGAGCAAGAACATCGACGACATGCGCTACGTTCTCACGGAGCCTGAGCGCCAGGAATTGGTCAGAGTAGCTCGCGACCATTACGAGCAGTCGCGGCAGCAGCGTGCGCTTCAGGAACGGGATATCGAAAAGGGAAAAGCGAAAGGCAAGTCTGCGCCACAAGGGGGCCATGCGGTTCCGCAGGGTCCGAACAAAGGGCCAGGCGGTAAGAAAGGTTCTCACGGTGCTTCTCAGCCTGCGGGAAAAGGTGGCCAGGCCAAGGGTGCAGGTCTGGGTAGCGTCGCCAAGTTTGTGAAAGACCAGAAGCGTAAGCGGTGGCATCGCCATTTGCAACGTGTGGCCGGTACTAAACAGATCTGGGAGGTGCTGGCCTTCTCAGGGCGCTTCGACGTTGATTTGTTAACGCAAGCGTTGCAAGCTGATCACAGTGAGGGCCGTGATGCAGCAGTTCCCGAGGAAGCTCTGCGGCAACAGCGGCGCCGGCTGCACCACCAGAAGGCCGAGGCCATCGCGCGCTACAACGAGGGGGAGCGGCTTTCCCTCCATCTGTCTGCCCAGGCTGGCCAGGCAAAGCCGAACTTCACGCGCAGGCAGCTGGACGTGTTGCAGATGTTTGAGAGCGGAGCGCTGCTTCAAATCCGCAACCAAGCGATTCTGGCGTGCGGGCACGGCCGTCTGTTCAGGGGCGATGGCGACTACCTGGACATCGGCGGCAGCACGGGCGGTGGCTCCAGGCGCATCATCGATTCTTGGCAGCCGCCGGACTGGCGTGACTTCCTCCCAGACGATCAGGACATCTGAGTTTTGCAAGTCTCCCTGCCCGCGGTGCTTCTCAGCCTGCGGTCTGCCGCTCTCCAGCTGCG